CCCACCCATGTAAATGAGTGCTACAGGGTAGCCCATGTTTTGCCCACCCTTCAGTTGGGCAGTAATGGCATTTTTTGCAGCAGTTGACTGAGCAGCCACGAGAAATCCCCAATTTATATTACACGCTGTCAAAGAATTACCGTAATTGACCGTCTGACCGGGTAGATTAGCGAATACACTGTTAGGAAGCGTTAAATACCGCACAATGTTAACCTGAACAATTCCCTCCGCCTCTGCCGTGAACTGCGGGTGGTGGCCCAGGTGCTGCAGAAGCATACAGAGCGACACCCACAGCACGGCGGTGCGGACAGCAGCAGCTGTTTTGACGTGAACACCACCAGTCATTGCTTGAGTCTTAATATCGGGAACTTATCACTAACACAGAGAGAAGGGATAAACGAGAAATATGTTACACGCAGAAAACATAATATGCGCTACACAAAGAAGTTTCTAAGGGACAACGTAGATTCGATAAAATCATATTTATTTTATAAAAATCTTTTACCCACATTTTTTTTTCCCGTGTGCAACATCGTGCACAATAATTTCATAATTTCTGCGTCCAGCGCATTACTCAATAAAAATAGAGAATCGTAGGATTATAATTTCAGTACTACCAAAACAAGGTACAAATAATAGATAATCACATATTAATTTCCCAGTATCCTTGTCACACATTGGACGCAAAAAAGGAGGTGGTGTTGTTAGTTCCACGTTTTCTTATGCACATTTATCCTGAGGCTAATGGGGAAATAGGCATTATTAGTACACTGTCCCATGACAAAACACACACTATGACAGTTAAGCTCATTATTGTTTCTCTCACAGTTTATCACTCTATCTGTTTCTCTCAAGAAGCTCACTTCTACTGCTTTCTTTTTCAAAGAGGGTATATGTAAGCAGGTTGCACAATCAACAGTCACACATTATGATTGAGTGAAAATACCACATGAAAAACAAGAAAAGCCAATAACTTAAAAATCTAATTAAAAAAACAAACAGAGAAGAAAAAAAGTTCATTTATTAGATATTCACATGCTTAAACAATTGAAATAAATTCTGTTATTGGAGTTGTTCTTTCACCTTTAGATTTGCTTTATGCACAATATGTTCATCGGTTGCCCACCGCGAATACATCTCCATCACCGTAAATATCATTCTCTGCCGCAGAGTACACCGATACGTTCGCATATTCAATATCTTCCATTGGCATGGGTTCTGGTGGAACCATGGACACATCTTGGTCTTCAAAATACATGTCATCAACATCACCATCAGTGATTTCACGTGCACGGAGCGGCATATCACTGGCCTCTCTACTGACCATTGGTGGCAAGTACTTCTCGTCGTCACGGCCACCAAGACAACAACAGAGTATAATCAGTCCAATGATAGCTGCCAGCACAACCACAGCAATGATCAGAGGGACATACCAATGCTTTTTGATCCACGATGGGTCTGATGCTGCCTGTGGGGGTGCGGTAGTAGGATCAGTAGTAGGAATAGTTGTTGTAGTTGTTGTAGGAATGGGCGGTTTAGTAGTAGGAGTAGTAGTGGGAATAGGAGCAGACCCAGTAATGGTATCTTGAACCTCACATACAACAACAAAACCCCATGAGGGCACGTCGGTATTCCCAGTTGGATCTTCTGGGCCATCATACCATGTAGCTCGTTTCCCTAGAGAATTCTGATATTGAGAGATCACATAAGGATTACCACGTAGAGGGTAGCTGATAGGCCAGAACGGTGTGTACCCATTCAGTGGTCCTGCACCTGGAACACTATAATACGAGCCACGGTAAAATGGAACACCGTGTCCGTCAACTGTTCCTTGTGTAAAAAGACCCTGGTTCCATCGGTAGATACAATTAATTGAAGCACCTTGAACCCCTGGTGTGCACTTTTGGCTTGGGTCACTCTCAAATCTGGTACTGTAGATTGCATCCCCACCCATGTACGTAGTTGGGAGGGTCACAGTTGAGGTTATCTTGGGCCTCAGCTGGTCAGTAATAGCATTTTGTGCAGCAGTTGACTGACCGGCCACGAGAGAACCACCATTCATATTGCAGACTGTCACGGAATTGCCGTAATTGACACGCCCACCAGCAGTACTTGTGTATGCACTGTTGGGAAGTGTGAAATACCTCACAATTTTAACCTGAACACTTCCCTCCGCTTCTGCCGTAAACTGCGGGTGGTGGCCCAGGTGCTGCAGAAGCATACAGAGCGACACCCACAGCACGGCGGTGCGGACAGCAGCAGCTGTTCTGACGTGAACACCACCAGTCATTGCTTGAGTCTTAATATCGGGAACTTGTCACTAACACAGAGAGAGAAGGGGAAAACGAGAAATATGTTACGACGTTGTGTAAATAGGGAACATCACCACCACGACAAGCAGCACCATCAACAACAAGAGACTTCTGTCCAGAGAGACGAAAATACCTTCCAAATAGAGAAACCAAAACAATCACCATTGCAGTTTTCATCCCATCCCCACCCCCTTTGTTTAAATAGATTCCTTGAGGGGTTGATGTACACATGAAAAAACTAAAACACATTCACAGAGATAATGTTATCCATTGCTGTTGTGGAGAAGGTATAAAACAACAAAAGCAAAAATAAAAACAATGGCACCACTCCAGATGATGCTGAGCAGTTACCAAACAGTGTTCCCCTCATTATTTACTTTGTTCTTCTTACGCCCTCCCTGACAGTAATGTGGTGAGGAACAATAAGTAGAAAATATGAGCCGACTACTAAGAATCGAGTGGAATTAGCAAACATGCAGAAAGTAGCAAAATACAAAACAAACATGCAGGGAGAAAGAAATAAATAAGAGAAAAAAAAAATCCCTAAAGGGAAGAAGGGAGAAACAACGTTGTGGGTTTACGATGCGTGGACTCTGCACCTTGGCCATCCATCTTCCTTTTCTTTTTGCTTGCCCTGTACATACAGTCTTATGCATCACACAAACTCCATCTAGAATGCATAAAATAATGGTGGAAATAAAACCTCAGCACAATTCTGAAAATTAAAACAAAGAAATGAAATAAACAAACAGTAGTGTGCTTAACATCCAGTAACATTCCCCACACCGCTCCCCCACACAAGGTTATTGCAGGTAGTCAGAGAGTGACTCCTCTAACCCATTCCAAGTGGGTGTGTAAGAGAGCAAGAGAGAAATGCAGGTAAAGAAGAAAATAGGAAATCCACCTCAAAAGAAGAAGATCATTCAGTGATCAAAGAAAATATCGTTAGTCACATTCCAAAAAAATATACTCCCCAAACCTATCCAGCACTACAAAGGAGTCTTCTTGGTTGCATTGCACATGGAAATAGACACCGCATCCAAGAAAGCTCGAGCCCGCACCACAGTACGTATGCACAGAAACATATAAATAAAAACACATATAGGTGTATATATACCCACATACAGAGAGAGAGAAGTTGATCTCCCATGTAAAGAATGCAATAACACGGTATATATATATGAGGAAAATATATAAATTAGAAGGTTACCAACTCAGAATTCCATTGTTTCAACATCCTGTTCTTGCGAATACTGTACGACACTTCCACTGCGACGCAGCTTGGTCACTTCTTGAAGGGCATCATCTTCACCACCCTCCTCAATCTCCTGCCCTTAGGGACCTCAACTTCCGAGAAGACATTCGATGATGTACGACCACGTTGTCTTTGACGTTTCGACGGCTTATGCATCAGTGACGTTTCCACATTACTTTCTGCATGTGATTGGTATCTGGTATCAAAAGGTTGTTCCACGGGCATCTCATATATAGGCATAGCTTGAGAGGTAGGCTGAGGCTGTTGCATGATTTGGACAGTGTCTTCATAGTAGTCAAAGTTGTATGCAGAAGAATTATTGTTTCCTCGCTGCATATCACCATGACACTCTCGAATAATCATAGTAGTAATGAAATAAGAATCATCATTATTAGCCCAGCAACAGTAATTTCTGGCCCAGCAAACACAAAGAAGAATAAGTAACAAAAATGCAAGAAAAGCCACTGCAGAGACAGCAGGA